GGAGATGCAGTGCTGGGTGCGGGAGTGCCGGGCGGAGACCAGCTCCCAGGCGGTGGCCCTGGCCGAAGGGTTCCTCCTGAGCCAGGCGGAGGAGGAGCAGGAAGGGCGCCAGGTGAGAGATGCTCATCTTGGAAATATGAAGGGGTATTAACGTGCTTGAATTCTTAAATGTCTCCCTAACATAGTTTTTGGAATTAATAATAATTCAATCAGATGTTTAGAGTAGATCATTAGAGAAATTGTTCCTGTGTTCTTCCAGAGGACATATTTTCAGCAATTGTTGCATCATCCTCTTCTGTTGCCAGAGTTGGACACAGAGGGCTTGCAATGTTGTGGGCAAAAAGTGAAAATCCAGTTTCTCTTATGTTCTCTTAATTCCTCTTTTTTGCCTATATTTCCGGTTCTGTGGTCCTTCCTGCAGGTGGGCACTAATTATCCTGAGGAAACGGTGGATCCTGCCAATCAGGAGCCATGTTTCAGAGGGATCTCCAAGGAGCAAGGTCAGCATCAGGACCCCTCACTAGGTAAGGGAAGATCCTTCTACGGTATTGGAGGTTTTCCAGAGATTCTAGTTATTCTTAATTCTCTATATCTAATACACGTCTCTAATCATTGGATTTACTTGAAGGTGACCAAACAAGAAAGACTTAACTCTCCCTCTTCAAGCTAGAAGGCTTAAGTCCCACAAAGGAAGTCCTTTCAGTCCACGCACTACCTTCAGATGATTCCCTGTTTGCAGAAGACTGACCTCTTCTGGGGAATGCCCTGGGTTACATTCTGACTCCTCCATCCTGAGTTACTTCTCTTTGTTCTCAGAAATGGGGAGGGGACCAACCTGTCTTTGGCCTTTCTTGATAGACAGTTTCTAGAAAATCCTTACACATATCCCGGTTGGATTGTCTCTAACATTATCTGTCCTTGCAGGCATGTTCCTGGGGTGCCAGAATTTCAGCATTATGCAACATAATGCTTTTAGGCTGTGGGCGGGGGGTGGTGGTAGTGGCAGAGCATCTACCATAGTTGATTGAATGGTTTGGTTGTCAAGATTATATCCCCTTCTCTCATTCTTGCCCAAAAGTCTAGGCGAAAGCTCCAGTTGGGGTTTGTTCCCTGTGCTCTTTCTCACATTTTCTGGGCTCCTCACCCAGCCTGGCTGCAGCTTCTGACTGATGTGCTGATCGGTCAATGCATGGTGGGGCTGTGGTCTTCTCTTCTCCTTTTATTCTTAGCTCCCAAGATGGAGCCTATGGAAGGCACTGAAGGCAGAGGGTAGGACTGATGGATGGAGGTTTCCTTCATTGGACAGGAAGAAGCCTTATGTAGTGCCTTCAGGCTAGAAAAGATGGAGTTTATCCCTTTCCTGTCAGCTCCATTTCTGGTGACCACCACAAGCCTTCTTCCATCTCATCTCTCTCCTTCCCAGGGAACAAAATGGAGTCCCCGTTGTTCAATGGATCATCTACTTATACTGGTAGAGCTGAAAGAACGGTTGGACTTCCAGCTCAGGTAGGAAGGAACAGATCAGGGGCTAATATGGGGGAGTAGTTGGAGATCCCTTTCATTTGGGACCTCAATATATGATACTGGTGTTCCTGAGCCACACAAACAGGGATCTTAGGATTCAAGTTAGTGTTCAGTCATATTCGGCTTACCTCTCAAGATCGTTTTGGAAATGTATTCATTTCTTTTGTGATTATGTACTGCTGGACTCAAAAAATAACACCCGGCAGTTTACACTATAAAACATAAAAACCAGTAAAACAGAACTAAGAGGCAAAATGATTATCTCCTCTGGAAAAGTGCCATCTTTGATCATTTTTGGAAGGCCAATAATGAGGCTACCAACCTAATTTGCAGAAATACAATGGGATAAAAGATCTATACAGAGAGAATCTAGGAAAGAGTTAATGGGGTTAGTGGTCCCTCAACCACTGACTAACCAGGCCTGAATCTGCTTACCTGAGAAGATCACCTGAGGACATCTGGAGTTGCCACCCGCTGAGGCCCCCTTTTCCGTAACTCAATTTTTCAGGAGACAGGAGTACAGTTAATACACAACTTTGCTACCTCAGGGATCATCTTCTTCAGGGAGAACCTGCCATGCTACTTGGGCTAGCTATAGAGGATGTTGTCTGTAACCACTTCTTGAGAGATCAGGGGATGGTTTTATCACATAACATGTTGAGTCCAGCTAGGAAAATGTCCAATTAAGCATTATAACTCTGTACTTTTAGGATTTGCAGATTAAAGGAGATCTTGCAAGTTCTTCTCGCGTCTACTAAAAGGAATTCTTCCTCATTCAGGGTCCTGTGCCCTTTGAGGAGGTGGCCGTTTATTTCACCAGTGAAGAGTGGTTGCTGCTGGATTCCAGCCAAAAGTCCCTGCACCGAG